TTTTGTTTTGTTTTTGTTTTGAGACAGAGTCTTGCTCTGTGGCCCAGGCTGGAGTGCAGTGGTGCAGTCTCGGCTCACCATCGGCTCCGCCTCCCGGGTTCATGCCATTCTCCTGCCTCAGCCTCCTGAGTACCTGGGATTACAGGCGCCCACCACCACGCCCAGCTAATTTTTTGTATTTTTAGTAGAGACAGGGTTTCACGTTAGCCAAGATGGTGTCGATCTCCTGACCTTGTGATCCACCCACCTCAGCCTCCCAAAGTGCTGGGATTACAGGCATGAGCCACCTCGCCTGGCCAGAGCAACTTTTGAATTCCTTTGGGTTTGTGTCTGTAGAGAGGTAGCCCTCCCCTCAAAGTGAACCAGACTTCACATAACGCACTGTCCCTGGTTGCCAGGCCACCTTTTTGTTCTTTGGTGGATGTGGTTTTCTTTTTTATTAGGAAAACAAATCATATATTAATGCAGTGAACACAATCTTAAAGGCATTTCCAACATCAACTAATAGTGTTTTCTTTGGTTTCACATTTGTGATTTTTGTCATTTAAATGGAAGATGGGTGTGAGTTTCAAAAATTCGTGTAAGAATAATGAATCTTCTTCAGTCCACAAAAGCACCTAAGAACCCGTCGTTCAGTGCATTCTTTTAATCAGCAGATATTCATTGTGTACCCACTACATGTCAGGACTCCACTGTGGTTTATAGCCTGCTATTCTGTTATAGCGTGACCCTGATGCACATAAAGGTCTATTAAAAACTGTATTACAAGCCGATGGAATCATCGAGGGCTGGAGAGCCACTCTACTGAAGGATACAGACCCCCAGACACCAGTTGCTACATTTTCCACTTTCTACTCCCAGGACCTCACTGTGCGGCCACTGCTGCTGCCAACACCAAAGCACTTCTCCCCAGGAGCTCACCCTTGAAGCACCCCCCTCCTCCTTCCGCCCGAAGGAAGGGAGTTTCCCAACCCTTTCCTCTTGTGTCACTGGTTCTTGAGCCCACATCTCTCTGGATGTGCCTGATTGGGGGCTTGCTGGTGTCCTGCCTGCAAGAGAGGCTGAAAAATGAGTGGAACTGGGGGTGCTCCTTTGCCCTCCTGCCCTCCACCCCCACCAAGACTCATTAAGTGGTCGATTCTTCCAGCCTAGAAAGAAGTTCATATGCTCGGTTGCCAAAAGGAAAGATAAATGTCATCTGTGGCTGAACCAAACATGGACATGGAACTTTCTGGCTAGCAGGGAAAGTAAACAGATAAATAATTGCATACATTATTAGGGTTAGTGTTAAGGAGAGACAGAATAATGAGAACCTGTGAAATGGGGATTTAGCTGAAGTAGCCTTTAAACCAAGCCCTGAAATCTGAGAAGCTGAGAGCTGCCAGGAGAAAGGGTGGAGAAGAACTTCCCGAGAATAGGGAACAGCAAATGCTCTGAAAGTCAAAAAGAACAGGAGCATCGCTGAAAGACAGTCGGTGATGACACCGAGAGCTGGGAGAACTTGGAGAGACAACATACGGATTAGGAAGGGCCTTGGAGGCCACACTGACAATTATAGACTTTATTCGAAGGGTTTTGGGAAGTCATTGGAGAGTTTTAAATAGGGGAACAACAGGCTTAGGTTTTTAGGTTTGCATTATTAAAAGACCACTCTTTCTTTTTCTTTTTTTTCTTTGAGATATGGTCTTGCTCTGTCATCCAGGCTAGAGTACAGTGGCGTGATCTCGGCTCACTGCAACCTCTGCCTCTTGGGGTTCAAGCGATTCTCCTGCCTCAGCCTCCTGAGTAGCTGGGATTACAGGCACCCGCCACCACATGGGCTAAGTTTTGGTGGAGACGGGGTTTCGCCCTGTTGCCAGGCTGATCTCAAACTCCTGACCTCAGGTGATCTGCCTGCCTCGCTTGGCCTCCAAACGTGCTGGGATTACAGGCGTGAGCCACCGCACCTGGCCACTCTTTTAAACTTAGAGAATGAACTTGAGACAGACAAGCATAGGTATGAGATGGCAAGTTAGGAGGAAGAAATTACAGTGGCTTAAAACTAAATCTGTGGTGGAGATGGGGGGAAAAAGATGGATTTGAGAAATATCCAGGAAGTACAATCAGTAAGATGGGATGAATGACGGGATATGTCACCCTAAAGTGTCAAAGGACACAAACCTAGCTTGCTTTGGAATTACAGCTGCATTTCTTAAGGGACAGCATCTTGTGGTCCAGAAGGAGTGTGGGAGTGGCGTGTCAGGCAGTCATGCAGAAGCATTGACTGCGCCGTTGGATACAAGAGTCGGGAACTCAGAAGAGAGACCTGGCTGAGACAGAGAACAGAGACTTTGGACTTAATCAGCAACCAGTGGTAGGTGAAGCCACAGAATGGATAACATGACCTGGGGCTGGAGGAGGGGGTGGAGAGAAAAAGGAAGGTCTAGGAAGAGCCCAGAGAACTCCAATATTGAAAGATTTGCAGAGGAGAAGCTAAAAGGAGGTTGAAAAGGCCAGACAGCAAGAGGAAAACCAGGCCCTGAGAAGAGCGTATTTCAAGAGCTGTAAAGCCACGTGTTTCAAGATCAATGGAAAGGAGGGACTGTCTGGCATGTATTGGTTTCATAAACATGGAAATCATTCATTTTAACAGCCACTGTTTTGGAAGCGTGCTGGAGATGGGAGTTAGACTAGGGTGCTCTGAGAGTGTGAAGAGGTAAAATAATAGGAAAACAGCAGCCGTTTCTGCAAAATGTGGCCCTGAAGGGGAAGGAAGAGAGATGATGATAAGCAGAGGGAACAGGGGCTTGAGGAAGGATTTTTTTAAGGGGGACAGATTTGAGCATATTTAAATACTAGAGGGAAGGCTCTGTATTGGGGTTCTCAAGAAACAGAGCCAATAGGATGTGTGTAAATAGAGAAATGTATTGCAAAGGCTTGGCTCACTGGTTATGGAGGCTGGAGACCCAGGGAAGACGCGACGGTGCAGTTCCAACCCGAAGGGCAACTGCTGCAGATTCCCTCTTGCTCCAGGGACCTTGGGCTTTTATTCCAGTGAGGCCTTCAACAAAATGGATGAGGCCCACTCCACCCATACTATGGAGGGCAAGGGGCTTTACCCAAATTCCACCAATTTAAGTGTTAATCACAATCGCATCCAAAAACACCCTCGCGAAAGTGACCAAATATTGCCACCATGGCCCAGCGAAGTTGACCCATAAATTCATCATCACCGAGAGACGTAGAGGATACAGAAGAGGGAGGGAAGGGGCAGGGTTTGGTTTTGTTTTTGACACAGAGAAGCACCAATCCTCCAGAAGCTCCCTCCGTACCCAGATGGCTCCATAAGGAACAACGAACGTGTCCCGTTTCAATACCATTCAGACCAACAAAGATGGCTTGTAACATGATTTTTAAAGCCATATTCACGACCACATTTAACACTTGGCAATTACGACCCGGCCTGGTATGTGAGTTTGAGAACACATCGCCAAGGGGGCTAAACTGTTCTTTATAGTCAAGGGAGAGGAATTTGAGGTTGAGTGTCAGATCAGGTTCCTGGGGAACTAGGAAGGAGACAGGGAGAGGAAGCAGGCAACAGACACTCTCTTTCTGAAAAGGCTCTGGAATGGAAATCTCTCCTCCTCTTTCTTCCAAACAAAAAATCCTGTCGCAGAGACGGTGGATTATGTGGGGGGGCCCTCAAAGAAACTTGAGTTTCACACCCGGGTCAGAATTGTAACTTGGAGATAGCACATGAGAAAACTATTATTTTTCTCCAGTTTTTATTTATTTATTGTGTGTGTAGAGGGGGTGGAGGGTAGACACAGGATCTTGCCATGTTTGCCAGGCTGATCTCAAACTTCTGAGCACAGGCAATCCTCCTGCCTTGGCCTCCCAAAGTGCCAGGATTACAGGCGTGAGCCACAGTGCCAGGCCCTCATTTTTTAAAATTTAATTTACATAAGGAAAAACGTACTGTTTTTAGTGGACCGTTCTGCAGATTTTGACAGGTGGGTACAATTGCATAATCCCTACCACAATCAAGATGCAGAACAGTTCCGTGCCCCGAAAATTCTCACATCTTCATTTTATTTTTATTTCTTAATTGACAAATAATAATGATACATATTCATGGGGTACATGGTGATATTTTGAAACATTTAATGTATGGTGATCCTATCAGGGAAATTAGCATATCCACCATCTCAAACATCTGTCATTTCTTTGTGTTGGGAACATTTGATATCCTCCTTCTAGCTACTTGAAACTACATATTATTGTTAAATATAGTCATCCACAGTGCTATAGAATAGTAGAACTTATTCTTTCATCTAGCTGTAATTCTGCATCCTATCTCCCCTTCTTCTACCCTTCCCATCCTCTAATTATCCTCTGTTCTACTTTCCTCACATCCTCATTTAAAAAACAAAATACTGATTGGAGAACTGAAAACAACCTCGATGGTTGTTTTGGATGCTCACAGCAGTCATCTGACGAACTTGTTTAAAAAGGGGGTGAGGCAGACAAAGAAACTTAACATATATTTACTAATTATACCTGCAGTGTGACATCATAATTGCACATATTGCATAAATGCTGGATGTATGCAGTTGTAAATATGCCTTCAAAATTCATTTTACTGGCTGGGCATGGTGACTCATGTCTGTAATCCCAACACTTTAGGAGGCCAAGGCAGGAGGACTGCTTAAGGCCAGGAGTTAAAGACCAGCCTGAGCAACATAGAAAGACTCTGTCTCTACAAGAAAAAAAAAAAGCCAGGTATGGTGGGGCGCACCTGTAGTCCCAGCTACTCTGGAGGCTAAGATGGGAAGATCACTTGAGCCCAGAAGTTGGAAGCTGCAGTGAGCTGTGATCGCACCACTGCACTCCAGCCTGAGTGAAAGAGCAAGACCCTGTCTCTTTTTAAAAAAAACACACACACACACTTTACAGGCAATATTTATTGGTTGAAACAGTGGTGTAAGAAGCTCTCTCCAGCCTGTTCTAAGCAAAAGCAAAAAAATTAAAAATTTTTTTTTAATTTGGGGAAAGTCATAGTCACACTTGGAACAGGATAAACATCTTCATAGAACAGAAGCAACAGGAACCTAGAACCATGGGGTGAGGCGAACGCAATGGCATGCACAGCCTTCTGTGCTCCTATCAGAGAGCCAGTGGTACAGCTGGAAAATCAGGGCTCTCGGTGCCCACATGAGGTGGGCGCGGAGTCAGAGAGTGTTGATTCAACCCTGCCACCTGCCTGGAGCCTCCAGGCCTGGGCGAACACGTGGACCACAAACGGAGTGTCTGGCTTTTTCCATGTGACATTGTGTTTGTGAGGTTCACCCACACTGCAACACGCCGTCAGTTCCAACATGCTCAGTTCTTCATTCCTTTTTATGGCAGTAGAACGCTCCAGCGTATGGATATACACTCCCCAGACTTTTTACAATGAAATATTTTAGACACATAAAAAGATCCACAAAATAATACAACGAATAGCATGCGAGGAGTCCACAGCTTAGGGAGTAAAGCCTATTTGTCAATTACTCTCTGCCTGTGGGAAACACAGGCTTGCTGTCACGTTAAATAAGGAGGCAGCAGAAGTAGATGGGTGGGTTTGAGCTGCCCTCTTCACTCAGAAGTCCTTGTTTGACCTTGTCGTACTGTAGGGATGTAGAACTTTGACAAAAATAACACTAAGTAAAAATAAAATAAGCTCAAATTTAGAAGCAATCAGGATGGTTCCAATTGAAGTGAGCATGAGTTATTACTTGGTACGCATCAGAATGGCAACATTTATTTATTTATTTATTTATTTAGAGATGGTTTAGCTGTGTCACTCTGTGTCACTCAGGCTGGAGTGCAGTGACATGATCTTGGCTCACTGCAACCTCTGCCTCCTGGGGCTCAAGCAATCCTTCCTTCTCAGCCTCCTGAGTGTTTGGGACTACAAGCACATGCCACCATGCCCAGCTACTTTTGGTACACATATAGTTTTTGGTAGAGATGAAATTTCACCATGTTTCCCAGGCTGGTCTCAAATTCCTGGGCTCAAGTGATCCATCTACTTTGGCCTCCCAAAGTGCTGGGATTTACAAGCGTGAATCACTGCGCCCAGCCAAAAATGTTTTAAAAATCCTGTCACTACAGGTGGGGGTGACAAGAAAGGCGGACTCCTGTAAGTGCTGGTGGAAATGGGGAGCAGAAGCATCTTTTTGGAGACAGTTTGCAGCATTTGTGAACAGTCGACATATACTCTGGTCTTCGAATCTGACTCTTAGGAATCTATCCCATGGGAAAAAAACATACCACACTACCAAGTTTGTAATCATGAGTGAAAGAATGTTTGCCTGTAAAGGCCTCACATGGAAATGAGCGAAGCCTATGAGGTCTGGTTCCTCCACATCAATGAATAGTGAACAGCTATTTAAGAGAATATGTGAGTCACATTAGATATCTTGCAGTGAATTTCATTTTAAAAAAGCATGATGCAAGGAAGTCTGTAAAATATTATTCATTTATATTAAATAGGGTCTACCCTCATTTATACTTTAATATATGTATGTGCACATAGTTGTGTATGGCATTGTATGACTGTGGAGAGAAATGACTAATGGGAAGTGTGGGGATGGGGCCCTCATATGGTGGTGGGGAGGGTAGTTGAGGTGCCCAAAATAGTACGTACGATATGGTCCCGTTTACGTCAGCTTACGTACATGGGTGTGTCTATTTAAAAAGAAAAGGATTTTGTCAGGGTCAGGTGTGCTGGCTCAAGCCTATAGTCCCAGCGCTACGGGAGGTGGAGGCAGGAGGATCACTTGAACCCCGGAGGTTGAGGTACAATGAGCAGTGATTGTGCCACTGCACTCCAGCCTGGGCGACAGAATGAGATCCTGTCTCAAAAAAAAAAAAAAGTCATTAATGAGCTGTGACCTATGTTGAATACCTTTCCTGCATCTGTTGAGATGAGGTGATATTTTTTTCTTGTATATGTTAATGTCATGAATTACATTAAGAGATTTAATGCAAAATCATTCTTGCTTTCCTGGGATGGACAAAACCTATCCAGGGCTTGTACAGTTCGCACAGCCGGACTCAGTGGTACTGAGTGGGGTGCTGGTCTCTGACGTCTGACGACTGACCTGCCTTGCCTGCCCCAAGGCTCGGGGACCCAAGTCTCCCCGGGTCCGGCCACTCCTCCCTACCCACCGAAGGACCAACATCTGCCACCTCATGGACAATCCGCTCTAATTGCAATGTTGGGTTTTCACCATTAAAACGCAGAGTTTCTCAGCGACTTCCGAGACAATTCACTTGCTTATCAAATGAGGCTCTTATCCTGAAATACACTCCGGACACACACACATATACACACGTGCGCGCGCAGACACAGAGCATCAAAGAGAACCAGATCTTTAGAAAAAGCAGAGTTCTGAACACTCATCTCCTCTCCCTCTTGAGACCCTGCCAAAATTATGGTAACGGAACTTAAAAAGAGAATAAACTGATCCTTATAAAGACAATGGGAGAGGAGCAGCAGCAGATTTCAGCACATCATGCAAGAAGAATGCCAAGAAGTGTAGGATCTCACCATCTCCTCACATTGCAGTGAGAGCTGGAGCCCAGCAGCTGGTCGGCTCACTTTCTCCTGATGGGCTCTGCTTAAAACGAGGCTGCTTTGGGCCAGGCATGGTGGTACATACCTGTAATCCTAGCACTTTGGGAGGCCGAGGCACGCGGATTGCCTGAGTGGAGGAGTTTGAGACTAGCCTGGGCAACATGGAGAAACCCCTTCTCTACTACAATTAAAAAAAAAATTAGCGGGGCGTGCTGGCGGGCGCCTGTAATCCCAGCTACGCGGGAGGCTGAGGCAGGAGAATTTCTGGAACCCGGAAGGTGGAGGTTGCAGTGAGCCGAGATGGCGCCACTGCACTCCACCCTGGGCGACAGAGCGAGACTCCATCTCCAAAACAAACAAACAAACAAACAAACAAAAACAAAACCAAAAACACCAAGGCTGCTTTGATGTCAACTCTTGCTGCGATCCTCAACACCCCCCCCCCCCCCCGCACAAGAAGCCTCCCTGTATCTTCCTGTGTCTGGCAGGAGGTTCGTTTGACTCTGGCTCAGCATGATGGCCAAAGGCGGGCAGGGGCAAAGTGAAGGGTGAGGGCAGGGTGAGGCCCTTCACAGAAAGAGAGACAGACAGACAGCAGACAGGACAAATGATCATTTCAAAGCTTAATGTCTCAGGCAAACTGACAAAGCTACTGCATAAAGTCAGTTTTTAAAATTAGGATCTAACTCATCAGGATTTAAATTTATTTTACTCTAATATGTGGTTTTATTGAAATTAATTGCAAACAATTTATAAATCTTTTCTCATGAAAGTCTAATTCTGAGTGTCTCAAATTAATGCATTGATTAGTCTGTCTGTGACTGTAGAAGTGTTTTGTTTTGTTTGTGTTTTTAAAATGGTGGTAAAACAAGCAGAACATGCAATTTGCCATCTTAAGCATTTTTCGTGTACAGATCAGTAGTGTTAACTATAAGCACACTGTTGTAAAATAGGTCTCTAGCATTTTTTCATCTTGCAAAACTGCACTCGTTAAATGACAAATCCCTGTTCCCCTTCCCCAGCCTCTATTCTACGACCACTCTTGTACTTTGTTTGACTATTTTAACATCTCATATAAGTGGAGTCATGCAGTGTTTTTGTCTTTTTGTGACTGGCTTCTTTTACTTTGCATCATGTCTTCAAAGTTTATCCATGTTCTAGCATAGGAGAAGATTTCTGTCTTTTTTTGAAGACTGAATAACATCCCATTGTATGGATAGACCACATTTTATTCATTGGAACAGGGGTGGGCATTTAGGTAGCTTCCACCTCTTGGCTATTGTGAATAATGCTGCTATGAACATGGTGTACAAATATCTCTGAGATCCTGCTTTAAATTTTTTTGGATATATAGTCAGAAGTAGGATGACTACAGAACCATTACAATAATTCTGTTTGATTTTTTAGGAACCTCCGAACTGTTTTCCATAGCAGCTGCGCTATTTTACGTTCCCAGCAATAGGGCACAAAGGTTCAATTTCTCCAACAAAGGTTCAATTTACCAACAATTGTCATTTTGTTTTTGTTTATAGGGCCCATCCTAATGGGTGTGAGATGATCAAGATTTAAATTTGTAATTTTGACCTTGAGATGATTTATACCTAGTAAGATAAACATCATAGTTAAAAGCCACGTGTGTGTGTGCATGCGTGTGTGTGCGCATAAGAAGGAGGAGGAGGGAGAGAGGAGAAATGAGGTAGACTGTGCAGGTATAAAGTGCATATTTTTGCTAATTAGTCCTGAGAATATAACTGGAATTCTTTGGGAATGAAGGATTCAGTGCGACATAGTGGCAGACACCCAGGGAGTGGAGACAGACATTTTTTACTTTGCCATTGACTTGGGTTACTCTGGGGAATCATGTAAATTATCTGAGTCTCAGTCTCTTCCTAGTGAGGATTAAAAGAAATATACACATAAAAGAAGGGGGCCTGGCGTGTATCAAACACTTGATTTTAAAATGCCAGCTAGAATAAATAAAGCAAGACAGCAAGCGGGGCGGGGCTAGATCATTGCCAAGTTCAGCAGGTAGCTGAGTTCTTCGCTTTGCAGATATTGCTGAATGGTTTTCTTTATTCTAAAATACAGATAAAGTTCACTTTACACAGTAGATGAGTTGAGATACTGTGCTTGCGGGGAATGCTTGGTAATAAAGCAAATAAAATGTTTTCTGGGAACTCTACATCAAGGAACCCCATGGTGAAGTTAAATGCGATTTTTTAATATAAATAATGTATCTGATTGCTAACTGCACGTTTCGATAGTTAGCTACTTTCTTTCTCTCTCTCTGTCTTTCTCTTCCACCCTTTCTCCATCTTTTTCTTTCCCATCCCCTTTCAAAAAGGACTTCATATTGCCATATCAAAGATAAGATTAAAAGATACAGCAACCCCATTACTGGGTCTATACCCAAAGGA